TACACACTTTTAGCTCTGCAACATGACAAAGTGAAAACCTTAACCCTTTTTCCCCCAGTCTCTTCATCCGTAAAACTCTGTAATTTTTTACTATTCATAGTTCATAATGCTTCAAATAAAGTGTAGAGTGCAAATAACTAATTAGGAAGCGCATACAAAATATGTAATACACGTGAAAAATAATAGATGTAGAAAGTCCATATTTCACCTACCCTAGTAAAAATATACATATAATTTCTTTTATTATACAATAAAATATTGAAATTTAAACTAGATAATTGCATTTGTCATAGTTTGGAAAAAAATTGGGCAAAATTTCTTGCAGATTCGTGCACTAGAAGTGCCTGAAAAAGGAGGGGCTTATCGGAAAAAATGACAAAATTTGTGTTTTGAGAAGAACGAGTTTTAAAAATAAAATTGAGTTTTCATTAATGAAAGATAATATTAAATTAGATGAAATTTGCACACCAAAAAGAACAATCCTTCTTGTGGTGGCCACTGCGACTAAAATACGCCAGCACCCATGAGTTTTTCCCTCTCGGCATTTTCGAGCCGGCTCCTCACAGACATTTCGCTCACAGACAGGGCCATGAAACGCTTGCCAAACTTCCGCTCCATCTGGCAAAGCCTTGTGCCAACTGCAAGCTAGGAAGAAGTTCGACAGGACTGCGAAATGCAAACTAAGTTCAGTGTCATGCCATTTTGCAGCCATGTTTGTGCCACATACCGTCGTACATAATGGCAATGTCGTCCCTGCTAAGTTCTCTCACTGCGAGCTCTTTTGACCTCTCAAGATTGGCGCTGACGTCATCCATTGCCGCATCACGAACTTTCCGGCTGACGGGTGTGAATGACTTTGATGCATTGGCTTTTGCAAGCCAACAACTGCCACAAATCGGACCAGCTGCTAGTGGCCTATTCCTACAGAGCGCGCCGCACAACGGCTTTCACTTGCGAGCAATGCCTTTTTTTCATTCATAACGGAGATAATTACACGAGAAAAGCATTTTTCAGCTGCGCTGCTCGACAAGACAAAGACCCCGCAAACAGGTTTCACAGCACATACAGGCGCGCAGCGGCCAATGGCAGTCCCCTATTTGTACCATGTGATAAACCAGTCGCGGCGCTCGAAAAACGCGCAGAAGAGTGATTCTTTTATTATTTCTTGCGCTGCATCAGCGAAAGGAACTGTTGTTATTTGAAGAGTGAGACTCGACTCTGACTCATGCGATCAACAATGGCTAGCGGCGGCGCATTATTGGCGGCAAGGTGCTCGAAGACTGCACACTTTCGACCTTTTAACAGGCACCTTGTTTTCTTTAGATGAAAGTATAAAGCATTTCCAGTCAAGTCTCGACCTGTATTATTTTCTTCATAATAGTAGAGGTACTAATCTTATCAAAACAGGCTAAAATAAAAAATCGGTAATTTTGAAAAAAACTCCCGTTTTTCAACCCGCATCTCCCCTTAATGGGAAGTTAAATGCTTGTATTTCGTTGAAGAAGCAGCTACATGATGCTTACTGCGCAAATAACAATGGCGTAATGTGTTTACAAACCATTGCTACGCTGCACATTCGTTCCTGTGCAGCCGCGACTGCGCGCTATTCAGTAGTGGCTTATTACTGCGGCAAATCCATCACACAGGCTCTGCACAAATGATCTCGGAGTGCCGTTCAGTTCATACGTGAATTCTAGTTCACGCAGTCTTCTATTGCACGCATAAGATAACGCAAAGCATCGTTGAGACATGGTCGATCAGCTGACACTACCACCCTTTGCACAGCGGCGAGAAATGAGGTAGTGAGCATTCAGCAGTTCCTATTGATTGGGAAAATACTTTGGTTCGATATAAATTCATTTGACGATCAAGAGTTCATCCGGTGAAAGTGGCACAGGAAGTACGTCCGTGCGTCTTATCTTTTCTAATGCGAGTTCACGGGTTAATCATCCTTCCACAGCCATCTTGGATTGCACGGCACGCCACCTATAGGCCGTGGGCCCTTTGTATTCAGAATACGTTTCACCGCATAGAGGTATGACATTGCGGTTAAGCCGACTCATAAAATGCGCATCAGTGTTAGATGGTTCCTGTTGATGCACTTTCTGATACGCAGTTTGAGGAAAAAGTGAGTCTTGGAAGAGCTTCAGCATCCAAAATTAGAGAAGTTCTCATGCATTGGTTTTATGAAGTCATCGTGAAAAACACAGGTATATAAGAGAAAAAAGAAAACAGGATAGAAGAGCACTGGCTAACAGCATGAGTGTTTATTTCGTGTGAATAAATATATACGCCTTGGCAAGAAGCAAAAGAAGGTGAATCCATGCCAACTAGCTCAAGTTTTTTCTGTCCTATGGGGCTTGTGACGGTCTGATGAAAGTGTCGGAGTCGGCATCTTTGTCATTGTCGTCACTGATGGTCATTGGCATATACCGTATTTATTCGCATAACTCTCACACTTTTTTTGGCGGAAAACTGATGCCAAGTTGGGGGGTGAGATAGTTACGCGGTGTTACGACCGGCCCTGGGGAGCCAAGCAGGGAGAGTTTGGGGGAGAACCGGTTCTTGACCTGACGGTGTCGTCCACCCCCACCTCCCCATTCGGGTTCCTCCTCGCCGGGAGAGCTATGGGGTCTGCTGTGCGTTCGTGACCATATTTGGTAACATTTTGGGGCGCCGGGACCATATATGGACCTCGTGTTGGGTTGTGCCACTCCTTGTGTTGTGAGAGGTGTTTTCCCCTCCCTCGTGGCCGAGGTGCCGGCGACACCGTATTGGCTGACGATGCGGACAAGGCGCCCAGTGTCAACGGCGCGGCGCTATAAAATGCCGAAGACGTTTTGTATCACACGCACTCTTCTCTCTTTGGGTCAGTTGACCACTTCTCCACATGTAAATAAATCTCTGTTGTTCGTTCGGGCGCTTCTTCTCGCTGAGTTGTTGGGACTCCGGGTCTGTTACGACCGGCCCTGGGGAGCCAAGCAGGGAGAGTTTGGGGGAGAACCGGTTCTTGACCTGACGGTGTCGTCCACCCCCACCTCCCCATTCGGGTTCCTCCTCGCCGGGAGAGCTACGGGGTCTGCTGTGCGTTCGTGACCATATTTGGTAACATTTTGGGGCGCCGGGACCATATATGGACCTCGTGTTGGGTTGCGCCACTCCTTGTGTTGTGAGAGGTGTTTTCCCCTCCCTCGTGGCCGAGGTGCCGGCGACACCGTATTGGCTGACGATGCGGACAAGGCGCCCAGTGTCAACGGCGCGGCGCTATAAAATGCCGAAGACGTTTTGTATCACACGCACTCTTCTCTCTTTGGGTCAGTTGACCACTTCTCCACATGTAAATAAATCTCTGTTGTTCGTTCGGGCGCTTCTTCTCGCTGAATTGTTGGACGATGGATCCTGCGACGGGGCCAGCTACCGAAAACGAGACCGGCAGGACCAGGAGTCCCAACAGCGGGGAAAACTGTCCACGAATACGTACAGAGCAAAACAGAAAGCGAAGTGACCACAAATCGGGATTCTCACAGAAAACGAAGTGACAGCAAATCAGGATTCTCACGCTAGGAACTAACAGCAAGCTTTGAGAAGTGCTAACTTGCCTCAACAATAAAAGCACAGGTTCAACACAAGGCAAGATTTATTTGAGACACAAAAGGCCCAAGCAAATAGTTGAGAGTTAATATATCGTACGCTAAGTTTGTGGGTGTTGCGGGCGTAGCGGTAGCGTTCGTCGCTCAAATCGAGCTAGCAAAAGGTAAGCATCGAATCTCAGTATTGGGCTGATGGCCATTCATTCAGAATTGTCCGCAGTTGCCTTCTGACGAAATAAAGTTTACCATCAATCCCAGTCTTAGGCACATGGAAGGCCCGTGTCTTGGTGGCTTTCAGCTGCCATCACCAGCAGCAAACACAAAACTCGTCTACTCTGAAGGGCCTACCGGTGGTCCTGTTGTCGTTAGTTAGTGCATGATCAATCACTTTCAATTTGAAATCAGCCGTGTAGTTTTTGTATCGCCCCATAATGTAACAACATTACAGACACATCGTAAAAAACACTCCGCAAGGCTGACTTGCCACTTTGGCTTGGCTTGGATTCGATTGAATTACTGTGCAATAATAGTACGCTCTATGCTTAGGAGATGGCGCCAGATGGCACACACTATCATTATCAGTTGCTCAACGAGCAGACGACATTGTTGCGGAAATTTTCGGGGGTGCGATAATTACTCAAGAAAAAAAAATCATATTTTTGTTGGGTGATGTGGAGGGTGCGAGAATTATGCGAGTGCGGGGAATACACGGGTGAATACGGTACCGTGCAATATTAATACTTTTCTCACAACAGCCTGCTCCCCCTATTTGGCTTTTTTTTTTCTTGCAAACTGTTTATGGCAGTTATCGGTGGTAACAGTGGATATTTCGTGGCACTTGAGTAATGTCGTAAGTGGGTTTGACATCTGTGTCGCAAAATATGCAGTTCCCCCAACCATGAATGGGGCTTCCTAGGGATCACTTTTGTGGTGGCAGGGTCACTTTTTGCAAAGTCTTATGCGACTCAATATGGGACATGTAAGGCATACACTGGCAATGCTCCAGACGCAGTACCAGGAATGCGGCCAGCCATTCAACTGTGATAGGTGAGGTTGCGATGATATTTTGAGGAAGTGACCATGTCAGAAAGGAAAGGATTGCTGAGGATGTTAACCCAGGGATAAGACCCACAACTTTATGCTCAACAGTAGAACACAATAGGCACTGAGCCAACGGATTAAAATGCTCGAATCCTAGTTGCGTGACGTGGCTATCATGGTTGGTATTTGTGAGAAGTTGCGTATGAGAACTCGTTGCATCTTTTTCACGTACACGGACTGGATTTGCCTGCATTCATGGGCATTGCTGTTGTGTTCTGAAAAAAAAAAAAAAAAATCGCGTGCATTCTTTGACGGGCACTGCCGCTGTGTTGTGAAGAAAATCACGTGCATTATTTCTCTGTTGTGCAGTGTTTCCACATGGCGGGAGTTCGGTTGCGCCGTCTTGTGCTTCGTGGCTGTTCGGGTTTGACTGCGACGGGCCTCTCCAAGTTGGCCACCAAGTGCTGCTTCCTGTCGGAGCTGACGCTGAGCGAATGCCTCCAAATCTCGGACCATGACCTGCTCCTGTTGTGTCAGGTGCAGTCAATAAATTGCCTCGTCCTGTGATGTCTTTCAACTGAGGTATGGCCTAGCATCGCTGGTTGCAGCAGCTGCAGTTGAATGGGCAGGGACTCTGCTTTTGAGTACCTAAAAATAAAATATGTAACGATTGGTGAGAAAAAAACACAATATATATTTCGAAAATTGTTTGGCCAGAGTGATACGACCGCAACATGAATATTTTATCAAGTGATATAGTGTAGAAAACTTGTATTATTAGCCTGAATTGGAATGCACACTATAATCTTTTCGCAGCTGAATTCCGGGCATGATGTCGTTTCGAGCTTTGCCAATCCAAGTTCAGGTTACAAGCACATGCTAATGTGAAGGCACTGTCCTACAGTAATTTCCCTCTTGTTTCCAGTGGGATTTAATATGATCGCACACTGATCTCCACTTGCAATGATGTCAAAGAAGTAAAAAAAAAATTGTTGAGACATGTTGATTTGCCACATAGCTCAGCCTTTGCAGTTCAACATGGCAAGCAATGTGCAGTTATAGTTTGCCCAATACATGCGAGGCTCCTTTGTAAGCTTTTAAAAATGTTTTTTTCAACTTGGAGTAGACCAACATGGCTCAACTTCTTAGTGTGCAGAGCGCTTGCGTGCATCTAAAACCAATGAAATGAAAATCGTGCATCTGCATGGTAGATGAGATTATGGAACGCATGCCTACACTGATTCGGCTTGTGGGACTTAGTAACGTTTGCACACTTGCTGTAGTAATGTTTGCACACTTGCTGTTCAGTTCAGCAGCCATGAAACACAAACCGCTACTACATTCAACAGGTGTTAGTAGAGGCTTTGCAATATATATATATTTTTTTTGGTCAAAGGAAACGACTGGACATCTGTAGTGTGACAGATGACAGCTTAACTCTTTGTCTAATTTTAATTAAAAATGAGCCACTGTTGTTATGTGACAAAACAAAAGAAATTATACAGTCGAACCCCGCTACAACAAAACTGACGGGGTGTGGAAAAAGTTTGATTGTAGTGATATCGAAAAAAATATAGCTGATCTGAGCTAGCAAATATTAACCCAGGTTATTCTCAAAATTTAAAAAAATGTCCGCTGCTTCCTATTCTTTCCGAGCAGTGTCACGACATCATTCTCACCCATGCATAGTGAGGCCATGGTGAAAAGCACGCTTAAACAATACCTAAAACCGCGTTCGTGATCGAACCAAACAGTTGCACTAGCATGTTAACACCAGCAGCTGTACACCGTCAAAAGTATCCGACAACGCCGAGATGGAGCAGCGACTTTTGCATTATTCTATGCCATTCTTATCATCTATTACTCATGGCTAGCTAATCTTGTTGATAATGCGGACGAACAGCAACTCTGATTAGTACCACACTGGCCAAGCGCGAACAAAATGATAAGCATCGGAATCGGAAAACACATCGTTCTGCGGTTGCACCCAGCAGCTGCGTGAAGGAAACTGTGAACTGAGCGACGAAGCTTCGGCTCAAAAATAAGGCAGTGGCAAAAGAACAGCAGTCTCATTGCCATTGCTATCGAGCAATGGCGGCGCCCATGCTTGCTGAACAGCGGCGGTTTCTAGTGGTGCCAATGCGTGTCTTAGACTTCGTTGATGCATTTTCAGGCTCTGGAAGTGCATCGAAATGTTAAAGATTGGGTTTTCTGCATAGCAATAAGTATCTGAGCCTGGAACTGCATCTTAAAATTTTGTTGAAGCAAGATGATCAAAGAAAAAGTGTTTGTTGTGGCAACAATATTTATGCATTGACTCCTATGGACTGCTGATGGGGAATCGTGAATTTTTCGCTGTAGCGGAAATTTCGTTGAAGCGGGGTTCGTTGTAGCGGAGTTTGACTATAAATGGATCTTACTTTATGCTGGGTTGCATGGCATCGGGTTTGGCATGTGCGTTGTAGTAAATGAAGCACAGTGTTTGTTAAAAAATGCAGCTTTTTTTTTACAAGACAGTGTACTTGGCACATGCCGTGCCACATTGTAGTGGGTTCTTATACAAATACAAACATCACATTCGCTTGGGGCATGTTTGCAGTATAATGAAATTCAATTAGATTGGTGCTAGTTCAAGACATCGCACCTTGTGCACTGCTCAAGTCTTTTGTAATATATTGTGTTGCATTTGCAGTGCTAGAATCTTTGTTTTGATTGAGGTCAAGCTAGTGTCTATAATTTCTTTTCTGCTGTCTCTTCTTCATTTTTCCGAAACCAGAACCTGAGGGCGCTAAGAGTGTTCCACCTGTCAGGATCATTCCTCAATTGTAAGCAGGTGTTTTAATTGTTCTTTGAAGGGACATGTTATTTGTTTTTTCAAAAGTGATGTGTATCATCTTTCTCACCCCTGTTTACGGATTTTTCATCTTCCTCAGTACCGTATATGTTATAGTAGTGTTATAGTAGCTGACGTGCTGTTTTTTTTTTTTCTTTTGCCTCTGCAGTGACTGCTGACAGTATTGGTGCCATCGGCCATTTGCCCCTCTTAGTAAGTTGACTGTGGCTGTGATAAATATTTATTTCTTGCCAGAAATAAACAAAAGGAGTGTTTCGCTGCTTAGTATTGCTTCTGCTCTCTATAGTTTTTATGCAACAAATCCTTATCACAATTACTTGTGTTTTTTTTATGGGGGCCTGTTTTATTTTTTTCGCCGACGTTTTGACTTTATATTTATTTTTCTTCTACCTGATTCACTTCATTTTTAGAGCCATCGATTAATACTGGAATGCATACACATGCTAGAACAGTGCTGGCTTTTGGGACTGTGCATACAGTTTGTACTGTGCATACCAGGAGATAGAAAAGAGAGAAAATGAAACTGTTATATCTCTAGACTCATTTTGTTTGTTTTTCTCGGAATTGCAGGAGGAGCTCAACCTGAGTCACAACATGGCTGTCAACGACGTTGTCATTGGAGCCATATGCGCAGGCTGCACCAAGCTGAGGTGAGTAGGCCACTCCCCAGCATCGGAGCTGTTTTATGAGCATTGTACATTGAAAATTTAGTCATACGAATCCTCACGGGGTGCCACCAAATATCTTTGTCTTCGAAAGATTGTCAAAATCACGAAAAAATGGATATACGGGACGCTGAAAAAAATTCTGAATGCATGTACTGGTTTGGGCACAACGCAATACCAACCAGTCCGCACTGCTCACATCGAACTAAGTGAGTTAGTCTAACTTGCCTCTGACATTTGCAGTTACATGACCTCCATCCTGCATGGGGCTTGCAACAACGCTTGACATTTTGAAACAGACAGGGCATGCAAACACGCACACAATAAGAAGGAAGTCTGACATGTGGGAACAAAAGACTTGCACATCTTCGTACGCTTGTTTGGTAGACAAAACATGCGGTGCTCTATGAAATGTGTGGAAGAGGCATCTTAAGTGCCACTCCTTTTGCGCAACAATGCCGGCTGACCGAAATATGTGAAAGAAAGAGTTTCGTGACGGATGTGACGAGTGAGTGTAGCATTTGTGTGACAGTGCAACAAAGGTGTGGTGTCGTGGGTGAGTCAAGCACAGTGGTGGGGACACTAAAGTAGCACCGCACAACAGACATGTGCAGCAAGTGGAAAAGGAAGACATCGGCGAAGCATGGCACGTGCGGCCAAGATCAATAGCCTAGCGGATGGCAGAGAGGAAGATGAAGACGAGGTTGAATGCGGTAAGTTTCATTTGGCAAGCTCAGAAGAGACTCTGGTGTTCGGGTTCATGCTGTCAAGAAGCGGACTTGAGCACGAAGGGCCCGACAGCATCGGACGATTTTCCAGACGTCCTCAGGAACGGGCGATCATAGGAATGAGCCATTGCCACTGCCCAAGCAGCTGGTCTGAACAGCTGAACGTCCATGTGCCATCCACATGTCGAGCCTAAGCGCCTGTCGCCAACCTACACGCTGGGTACAGGGGCAGAGAGTTTGCCAGCCTGCAGCATCTAAGGGCACCTCCTCCTACAACCTGTGTGTCGACTCGCCTCCTCATCTGCTCCACGAGCGCCCTCGCCGCCAACGAGACCATTTGCCAGCAGCGAGTTCGCAGCCCACGTCATCTCACATGTCAATACAACTGGTGACGACAAGAAAGAGGGATAGACTTGTGGCACAGTCTTTCATTCAGTTCTGATTGACTTTTTTTTTTACCAAGTGAGAATTCAAAACTATATGTACCATAATGGCTGTCTGGGATACTCATTGCATAGATGCGTGTAGTTACTGTATTTACTCATGTGAATTTAACAATGTGTCAGGATTTACAGTATGAAAGGCATTATTAATAATGTTGTGGATTAATATCATGCGACACACTTAATGCAGGTTTCTGGACCTCACTGCTTGCAGTCAGGGCATCACCGATGTTGCGTTGAACCACCTGTCTAAGTGCTCTGGATTGCGGCAGCTGAAACTCAACTATCTGGGACAGGTGAGCCTAGTTTGATGTCTTGCATTAAAGTCTCTCTGTCGAGTTCAACTTTTCCTTAATTGTATCCATCTTGACTAGGATAGTGGTTTTGGCTTGCCTAATACAGGGTGAAAGTGCAGTTAATTGATAGATTAGGTGAGGTGATGCATGTGTCCCAAAATCATCAGTTGCTTTTTCTAGGAAAGAGCTATGTTTCTTGCATCATGATAAAAATTTTGTGCAGACTCTGCACACATGATATGTCACAGGTTTTCAGCTATATGTGTGGTTGCTTGATTACAAATAAAATACTGTTGTAAGTCATTGCTCGCATTTGTCAAGCCTCTTCACTGTCTTTGATGTTTGTGCTTTTGCCCTTTATCCATCTTTTGACTACTGTCACGTTGTAGGAATGCTCTTTTCATGCTCGTGGGATAATTTATGAGTGCATCATTATGCATTTGCATCACAGCATTTGGCAGTGGGCTGGTTTATTGCGAAAAGATTAGAAACTGGAAGTCTGAAAATTTATAAATATGTCTGATAAGGAGTTATCTTTCGTCTGCCACGGTGGAATAGTGGCTACAGTGCTTGGCTATTGACTCAAAGGGTCACTGGTACGATCCTGACCGCGGTGTTCACGCTGAATGGTAGAGGCCCGTGTACTGTGTGGTGTCAGGGCGTGTTAGAGAACACCATGTGGTCAAAATTTCTGGAGCCTTCTACTGTGGCGTCTTTCATAATTGTATCGTAGTTTTTGGTAGTATAATCCCAGATATCATTTATTAGGAGTTGTCGTTCATCATGTCAAGTATGAAGCGATGCTTGTTAAGTAGATTGTATGCCCACCGATCAGGCATTAATGTTCCGTAGTTGCTTATAGTTCAGATTTTGGTAAGCCTGATGTTAAATGGAATTGGTTTGCACAGGACAGGGTAAATGGTAGATCATAGGGCAAAGCCTTTGTCTTGCATTGGACATAAGACTGGCTGGTTGTAATAGTAATAATGGTGATCTGTCTCGGTCAATTTGTATTGCCCTGTACTGAAGATTTACCCAAAAAGCTCTAAAACGTTGTTTTAGTTCAATAATGTCAAAGTTTGGGCCACTCGGCTCTGCACAGTTCTAGCGTGGGGCCCTACCATTCGTCCAGCATTTTCTTTTGTATTGTCGCATTATCGTGTAATATGCATATTGAAATATCTGGGTACGTACAGATGTAGGCTTAATACCTGCTCCTGGCGTTCTCGCACATTTTTGGGCAGTGTGCACATGCTGTGCCATTGTTAGAACTTGTATATTTTGGACTGCCTCAACAGATCACAGATTCTGGCCTGGGTAGCCTGTCCTGTCACGGTTTGCTGCACAGTGTTGAACTTCGGGGATGCCCTCAGGTTTCGGATGGAGGTTAGCATTTTCCCTTCCAAGTGTGGATCACACTGGCTCAAAATGTTTGTCATGACTTGTCTAGCCAGGGTGCACATGAGCAGAGCTTTTGCTGGGTCATATGGTCATCATATTGAGGCCAACCTGTCTGTGACTAACAAAGTCATTAGTTGTCTTGCTTGTCATTGCTTTGCAGCCAGTTACGTGCAGAATTCTCGTGAAGCACTTTTTTTGATGTGCTTTAGTCTTTGCGAGCAATAAACAGCCTGTGTACAAATGGTGAAGCATTGGTGCTTTTACCTAATTAAATAAAGTGAAAACTAAATTTAATGATACTGCACCCAGCATACAAACATAAAATATTGTCATTATCTCTAGTATACATTACAAGTATGTTTCGGCGTTCCTTGAAGCTTGGTGGAAAGGGGCAGTGGTAATGCAATTTTAACTGAAGAAGGTCACTATGTAAAATTGATTGTTATGTATGGACAGTGCATTTGATGAAACTACCGTCATAAAATGACCAGTGTCTTTTCTCATTTGCCATGCTTAAGCGTCATCAAAGTTTGATAAAAACATGCGTTTGATAAAAAGAGTTGGCGGAGGGAAAGCGTCTTACGAAAGTTTATTCAGCGAAAACTGCCAGAGGAAATTGAAAAAAAAAAAAAAACAATTTTCTGAATATGTACCCTTAGAAAACAGTGAATCCAGTCCATGTTTTGATCTTGGCATTAAGCAGTAAATTACAGTCATATCCATGGAAAATTAAGTTCTGGAATGGAGCGAAGGTAACTTATGATACAATGTTAGAAAGTATTTGATTACAGTCGCCGACCGATTTTTCTAACTCTCAAGGGGCCGAAAAAGTGCCCGAAAAAACGAATTCACGCAAAAAACGAAAAATGGTCACTTTATTGACCGAGCGGCTTGAATAAGTGTTCAATACGTTCCCGCGGGCCGTTACGTTGCCGTACCAACAGGTCAGTTTGCACTTCGGCGAGGGCGGTGTTCTCACTGTACACAGCGGAAAGCACAACGAACACTTGCGTTAGTTCAGCACCCATAGGTAGCGCCATCACTAATTCTTCCGTGTCGGAGCCCGAGTCATCGTCTTTCAGCACCTGGCGAACATCGGACAGCTCAGCACAGAGCTCGATTTCGCTGTCATCATTAGTAAACTTCTCCGGTGTCACTTTCATGGGAACGGTGCCTGCAGTGCACAAATGTACCATGAGATCAGCAGATGAACGCAGCTGATCACATTCACTACTGTTATCAGATGACAATGGCACTCCATCCCTGACCGCGAAACCCGCGTGGAGGAAACAATTGCGGATTGTGCTTTCAGTAACTGCTTTCCATGCGTCTAAAAGAATGCCAAGTGCAGAGAGCAAGTCAACTGAGTATGTTTTGCCATTGTCCATGCATAGGACTACGTGACTAAGCACGCGTGACTGGTAGAGCTGTTTGAGCGTGCGGATAATGCCTTGATCCATGGGCTGTAAGAGTTATGTCGTGTTTGGCGGCAAGAATTCCAGTTGCACGGCATTGAGGTCCTTCAATTGGCCATGTGCTGCAGCGCAATTGTCCACCATCATTAAAACTTTGTGTCCCTGCCGCTCAAACTTCTTGTCCAGCATGTGAATGTACTCTTCGAAAAGCTTCTGTGTAATCCAAGCCTTCTTGTTGGCTTTGTACAATACAGGAATGCGCGCTCCCTTGAAACATCTGGGATTCTTTGATTTTCCGATAACCAGCATTGGAAGCTTCTCTGTACCCAGCATGTTGCTTGTAACAAGGACTGTCAGGTGCTCCAAGCTATGCTTGCCTCCGTGGCAAGGGTTCCTGGCTAAAGCAAGGGTCTTTTCAGGTAGCAACTTATAAAACAGCCCCGTTTCGTCGCACTTAAATGCATCTTCTGGTGCGAACTACCGTAGCAAGGACTGAAGTTGACCTCAGCAATAACTTTCAACAGCCAACGGGTTGACCGTGGCACTCTCACCACACATTTTCTCGAATCACTAGTCATTTTTTTTTTTTGAAATTTTGGACCCAGTCATCGCTGAATTTACACCCCTCAATATACATTTGAAGCGCCAGGGTCTCTGCCTTTCTCTTCAGAACATTGCCAGACACTGGCACCTGTCTGGCAATCATGCCTTTCAGCCATATGAGGAGAGCTTCCTCCGGTTTTGGGTGAGCACCTTGGCTTACATTCTTTAGTCCCGCTCCAGCCAACTTCTCGGCAGCTGTTAGGATTCTCACTTTGTCTTTAAGGTAGTCCGAGATCGCCTGCTTGGAGATTTCAAACTGTTTGCGACGTCTGCTTGTGACCGGCCACTTAACACTTGCCTGGTTATGGCGGCCTTCTTCTCCATCATCAATAGACTATTTTCCTCGCTTCAAAGCTATTGACGAGGAGGCGCGCGGGGCTGGCGGTGTCGGTGCCATTGGTCGAAAGTGGCGATAAAAATCACGATCCCTTATTCAAGCGGCCATGCAAACAGCTGCACAGGTGACTAGTGAACGACTTGCTCGGAGACTGTCAACAAAGTGCCTAATGGCAACACTAGAGAACACCGACGGTCAAGTGGTACGTGCCTGCTATCAAGGCTATATGCGAGATCAGCTGACCTGACCACATGGTACATGTGACGCGGATTCGAGGCTGCAAAAAAAAAAAAAAAAAAAAAGCAGCAGTGTACAGTGTGTTTTCGTCGAATTTCGGTAGTTTTTGACTTGCGATCAAGAGAAAAAAAATTCGGAAAATCGCAGGATAAGTGTTTAAAACGTGTGAAATTTCGGTCGGTGTTGTGCATTGACTCTATGGAGCGCGTGATGATGCCATGGCAAAGTCCGGATATTCAGGCAGGTTCGAAATATAGGGCGTCCGAAAAAACGGTCGCCGAATGTAGTATTTAATCCATGTTGCTTGTTTCAATGTGTAGTTTCAATGTGTGATGTTGTTATTCTTTCTATGCATCTGGTGTGTATCAGTAATGTGAATGCTATTTATTTTTTAGAACTGCATAGTAGGTGAATTTTTCTAATGTAATCATCTAAATCGCTGATATTGCAGGGGTGCTGATTCTCGTGGAACTGTGTCGGGATCTGAGGCTGCTTGACGTCAGTGGCTGTGAGCGTGTGACTAACGCAGCTGTCACTGGTGCCATGGATATTGTGGGGGAGCGGTCGAATGTGCTCACAATTGTCATTGGTGGTGAGTTTGATCGTTTCCCTCCTTGATTTTTTGAAGCTTGGTAAAATAATAGCGACATCTTCCTTCAGTATATTTTTTTCTCTCTGGAGACATTTTTTGTTTCATTATTAACTTTCTGTTTGTAGGAACCCCAAAATCGTAAAATGCAACGATGCCCCATTGTGCTTCTGCATATTTCATCACATTGCTTAGCAAGTAGCCTGTGTGGATACTCAAGGGCTTTGAATATTTGATTATTATAGTATTCCAGTTCTCTTTACAAACTTTTGAATCTAGAAAGTTTCGAAGACTGTAGAAAATGAGTAGACTTATTTTTCTGCGTTCGATTCACTTGAGAAGGTAATTTTACAGCAGCAATCGCGTGCCATACCATACTGTGAAACCGTACGTTCAAAAGAAATCCACAACTTTTTTTTTTATTTTATACCGTTAAACTGAAGTGTGCTGATGGCCATTAATCAGATCAGAGAAAACGGTTCATTTTTTTTCTAGGAGCGGATCACCTGTGTTTATGTTTATGCTGTACATACTGCTATAAAAGTGGAAGAAACATCTGCCTTCTGAAGTCAAGAGTCCGACGAAAACTCATCGGGTTGGGCATGCTCATGGTCAGACGTAAAAGGAAGACGCTGACCAAAGAGAACCTGAAAATGACGGACGTCTGTTATTTTGAAACGTCTGTTATCTTAGACATCTTTTAGGTCGGCGTCCCTTCCTTTTACCTTTGACCATCCACTTTCTCCACTGTAATGGCACATCACAGGCGAATACATGTGCCTACAGTGAAGATTCCTGTTTGCGGTGAACTTATCTTGAAGCCTAAGCTCCTGATGCTTCCAAGAAAAAGGAACGGTGCGAGTGGGAGGAGCAGTTAGATGTGGCCAGCATTTGTTGGGACACTATAATGCACTGGCCCAGGCGGTAGTAGACCGTTGCCCACAACGGCGATGCCGCAACGCTGTTTCAAGATCAGATGTTGTAAAGCTGCTTCCAGCAACATTGTGGCTTTTCAGATATTGTTGAGGAGCTCTCAAGACTGTGGAGTATAGCCGTTAGTTGAATGCAAGGCCTGTTTCTCAGCCAGTCATAGCCAACTATGTGAGACGGGCCTGAGCTGTTTCGCTTAACTGGAGTGAGGTAAACAGAGTCACAAAATTCAGGTACAGAACCTATCGTATTAGAGGCAGTTGTTTCATTTGAGCAGCAGTTTCGTTAAAAAAAAATTTTGATTGCTTAGAGTCTGTTGTATGTGCTTTCTAAGTTCTGGCTGTGGGAATGTTATCTTTGTGTTGACAATACTATAGATTGTGATTTTCAGCTTTGTTGTAGCTGCATCTTAGCTTGTCATTGTATGGCTAACTGTAGTACCGTAATTACTCGAATCTAACGCGCACCTTTTTTTCCGGTTAAGCGAGTTCATAAATCGCATGCGCGTTAGAATCGAGTACGAACAAAAAAATTACGGTCAATCTATTGCCATCGGCAAATCCAAAATGGCCGCCCCCTACGTGCGTCGCATTGGCGCGTCAGCCATTTCTGCCTATGTGTTTCCCATGTGCGGCACTTCGCACGTGTGCTGAGGAGTTCGTCATCTAGTAGTGCCTTGGCATCGACGGCGTGGAAGGGCCGACTCCAAAAACCCGAGTGCACCACAATGCCTCTTTTAAAAGAAAAGTCATCGTGTGTGCAGAAACGGACAGAAATCGGGCCGCATCTCGGTCGTTCGGAGTTCCCGAAACGTGCGTGCGGGACTGGCGGAAACAAAAGCAGAAGATTTTCGACAGCAAAGCTTCACGCAAAGGCTTCAGTGGACCACAGCAGGGTCGGTTTCCACAAATTAAAGAGCTGCTCGGCGAGTATGTCCTTGAGTGGCACAGCGGCCCGTGACGACAGAACTGCTCCAAGTGCGGGCTATGCAATTAGTCTTAGAAAAAGGTCTAATGCGGAGCCAGTTTAAAGCGAGCAGGTGCTGGCTAACTAACTTTATGAAGAGGAAAGGCTTTTCCCTCCGAAGGGGAACATGCATATGTGAAAACTTTTGCGGAGGAGTACGATTAAAAGCTTCACAGTTTTCAGAGGTTCGTTCTAAACTTGCGGCACAACAACGGCTACCTGCTTGGGCAAATCGGGAATGCCGATCAGACGCCTCTTTACTAAGACATGCCTGGCACCACAACCGTCGAGAAGAAGGAGGCGAAGCAAATTCGCGTGCTGACATCGGTCCACGGTAAAACTACAGTGACGGCAATGCTCTGTTACATGTCAGATGGGCACAAGCTTCGCCCGTACCCCATATTTAAATGGAAGACGCTCCCGAAAGGAGTAGTTTTTTCGAGTGGTGTGATCGTGCGGGCCAGCGAGAAAAATGGGTGCGCGTTGCAATCGATGTCTTACGTTTTTTTTTTTTTCGCAGTGGAAATCGGGTGCGCGTTACAATCGAGGGTGCGGTAGAATCGAGTAAATACGGTAATAGGATTTTACTATATTTTGCTGCTCTGAGAGAATGGCAGGAAATTCTGACACTTTCCTAGACGTACAGCACTTTGATTCTGTGCCTAAAACACGAGTGTAATTAGGCTCACCTTTTAGCAGTGGCTAAGCAGTGTTGCGTTTATTTCCAGGCACGTTCGTGGAGCCGGACCAGCTCTGCTTGGACCCAAAGAGCAAGCTTAAGATTGATCGGCGCAACTTCTGCGTTGAATTGTTCAGACCAGACAGGCTGGAGCGCATGTTGTGTAAGTTTCGAGTGTTTTGACACAACTTTTTTTTTGTGGTCTCAAAATTATGAAGCTTAGAGGGAAACTCGGGTGAAGCAGTGTGCCACTTGAAATGTGCTAGTTATTGCTTGAAGCACTTTATTTGTATTAACTCAGCATGTGTAAATCCACTATTCAAGGAGCAAACGAACGTCAAAGATTCGTTCTTAAAATTTGTGTTGAAATTTCTTCACACGAATGTCATCGTGATGATGACACTAATTTCAAAGCATTTTCTTTTAGAGGCATCGGGTTGATAAATTTTTTGTGAAAGTTGGTATGTTATGCCTCTTGATGCCCAGGGGATAATCTACTTCATTTTACCTATTAAAATCTTCGTAGGTCCCACTAGGTACTGTCCAAATCTATGACGTATTAGTGAGTTAATGCGGGAAATACAAGTCGCTATGACAAGCTGCATTTTATAGTGCATTTTTATCACAAACCGTCTGCCTTCTTGCAACAAGAGTGGTGCTTTCGAAATTCTGAAAAGAAATCTCTTGATCGGAGGGGGTGTACATCTTGTACTTTCACGGCACAGTAGGTGTTGAAGTTACAGAGCGCACAAAGCTCTTTGCGCGCTGCATCGCCGCATTTGCGAAAGGAGCGCGCTGATCGAACACAAGAAGCTAACTGTGACAGTTGTTAGTTCACACTCGACCTGGGTGTACTTGTGCGTTCATTTCACGTGTCCTTTCTGTTTCAGCAGTGTGCTTTAAGGGTCGATCATGCTGTGACAGTTGTTAGATCGCACTTGTTCAGGGTGTGTGTCCCTTTCGTTGTGTGTTCTACTTAAGCAGCACACTGCAAGTTTCGATCTGCTTGCCTTTCTTCACGTGACATTCCAATTTGTTGCTATCGCGTTCATTGCTTCGCTTCAGCAGCAAAACAATGTACAATAAACACTCAAGTACCCTTGTGAAGACATGTTTCACTTTTGTCTTATGCTATTCCTATGACGGAGGATGCTTTTTTAATTGAATACCATATCTTGTATTGAGTATCAGATACGTTAAGGTTTCTGTAGTGACATCATATTCAAAACTTTTGGAGAGTGCACTTTATGTAGTAAGAAACTAGGTTAATATTTGTATGCATTGTATGTATTATTTTATTCATAGGGCTATGCGAATATTCGAACTTTACAATGTTTTTCTGATAGTGTATGCTACCCAATTCGATTCGTACCTGAATTTTATTATTCGAAGTATTCTAACTTTCAGAAATGAGCATAAAGACAAAAATTGGCCTCCAGCGTTATTGGTCTTGTGTTTTGGGGCATCCATGTGTGAAACTTAGCCGCTTCCATTGGTGCTCTAAGCAGTCACTGCACGACGAGCTTAGCTGGGTTTCACTGCCAATGCTTAAGATGCCTATCTACGGTTTTGAAGAGCCAGTGGGGGTTGCTATTGATTGCTTGTGACGAAGCATATTGTGGCTTCTTCGCTTTCGCACGTCCACTAGCACGATGTCCTTGCCCACAAAGTTCGGATTCATTGCATGAATCAGCGTCGTAACTGGAGTGAAGCCTAGCCACGACTCCGAGCACTAAGCTTGCTCACGTTATGTATGGTCACGGTGACTGATATTTTAAAGTATGCCATGCACGATTGCTGTAAGCTTCGCTCGCAATGTGTGGCTGCGGTATTCGATGTTTTGAAGTATGTCACACACGATCACGGAGAATAGGAGCCATCTCGAGGGGGTCTTCGTCATGAAGTCCGAAGTTTTAATAAGCATAGTCTCTATTTAGGGTCCAGTTTGTCTGAAACGTGTATCTGTGATGTTCACAAAAAGCACGGCGCTATCGTAATCTGATGATTGAACTAGCTACCAAACTAAAGCGTAATGGTATTCTAAATGATCTTTGACCAATCAACACAGGAGTGTGTACACAGTCACCAAATAGCGCGATTCTCAACAGCCGTGACCTCGCGATGCACAAGCCGCGAATGACTCTCTCCCTAAACAAGGCGCGCTGGAACAACATGGCAGATGGTGCCAATCTGGGCCCTCGAAATAAGCTTCATACATTTGCTTTTTGTGCACTTGTTTGTGAATGAAGGATGTAGCTCAAATGGCAGCGCCCGGTTGCACCACTGCAGGGCTATGATTGTGTTGAAAACGCTGTTATTTTGCGATGTATGCAATACTCTTTGCCAAATAGAGAAATATCAAGTTATTCAGGCTCGTGGTGATATACTGCATGTTATGACACCACTTTGGTTATACAAAATCTCATAAACAAACACAATTTATCCTCTGCACTTCCTCATTCTTTATAAGACATCTAGAGAACATGCCCTAGCAGCACTGCTCTAGTGCTTGATCAACCTAGCCTAAAGAAACGCTTTCATGTTCATATCACTTAAGAATATATTTAGGGATCCTCTAAATTTTTTTCTGCGATTTTGCTTTGAAGTAATTGAAAAATATTTGAGAAACATGAATTATTTGCATTCAGTTTGCACCCAAAACTTTGCTATATTCACAGCTCTAGTTATTCACTATTAGAGGTTCGAATAAATTGCAATCTTGTTGATGATCAAGTTACTTCACCTGAACAACATTACCAGGTGCACATGCAGTCTTGCATATCAAATTTGCTCAAGGGTAGAAATGTGACACCACAGCTGCTCGTAGTTCTGAGTATGAGACAGCTGAACTATTTATCAGAGTGAATTATTGGAAGGACTTGTGTGCACCAAATTTTAGGCTTGTGGGAATATTCGAAGCAATCGAACGAATAGTAGGGTATTCGAATTCGCTTCGATTTGAGTTTAAATTATTGAAATTTTCAAAGTATTCTAAAGGAACGAATAAAGGTGGTTTCACTGCAGTATAGGATTACATGACAGTGAAAGCACTTACTCGGAAGAAATCCGCTTTGCCGCGAAGCCCCCCTTCAAATCTAAAGGGGCCCTGCAACACTTTTTAAGGATTGTCGGAAAATGCTGCCGATCGGTAGTCAAGGCTACCGAGGACACGCAAGCCAAATATTATAGGGCAGCACGCAGCGTGCGATTCACAATAAATTCTCGAAGTCAGCTCATAATTGCTCTCTTCTCTTCGCAAATGACTCCACAAGCTCAGAAAGCATGTGTGACTTAGTTTCTTTCCCCGTGCCATCCTTCCCTGCTTAGCTTCTAGTGCTTTCGTCGGGACAAGAAAAGAATGCACTTGCAGCGTGAAAGAAATCTTTGCAACTCCGCATGTACTGGATGGATTCTAAAAAATATTTGTGGCAGTGAATTCATGAGGCAATAAATAAGCTTCTTTAGTGAATCCATGCCATGGCTACTTAAAAAAGTGTTGCACGGCCCCTTTAAATGAAAATATTACTCAAGCTTAAAAGCTAGTTATGGCAGCTTATATGCTACAAGTATAATAACTTTTGAAATGTTACATATTTTCAGGGTTACGACTCGCATCCTGCTGAAATTCAAATCTTGCTACTACTCAAGGTTCTTTTGACTTCCTTTGAACAAAAAAAAAAATGGTATTGCATAGAGGCCCTATTTCAATTAAAAAAAATATTGTGCAGGTTAGTTAGGTCATAATAAATATGCCCATTTTTCTTTATATGTCATATATACCATTCAATTCAAAATTATTCTACCAAAATCACTATTCGTTTCGAAGTTACTTCGAACCTAAAATCCACTATTCGCACAAGCCTACCAAATTTTTCTTGGCGCTCTGAAAGCATTCAGTCTGAGTGTGTAACAGACCATAGCTGGACTACATACACGTACGTTCTTATTTTCCCTTGTCACCAAGTTATGCTTGTGTTTCTTTTAGCCTTTCACGAAGACGCTGACGTTTGGGATCTGGATGGCTACGAAGGTGTGTATATCATCTTGGCTCGATTTATTCTTTTTCTTGTCCTCTGTTGATACATCAGAGGCAAGCAGAGGATTTTTTTCATTTTTCGTTGCACCACCAACAACTTTCATTCCCTAATTGTTTGAATGTGTGTTGTGGCAACCATTAGGGCAGGCTTAATTTTTCGAATGGTCTGAAGACTCTCTACCCATTTGCTTTTGCTGTGACACAATGCTTGACATGCTGTGCTAGAAGCATCGCAAGACAAATATATGAAGTATCAGCACTAAAGTATTTCTTTTATAAACAGGGTCTCAAGCAATGCTGAAATGGGGGTGCTTTGGGGCAACATAAAGTTTAGGAGTTTATAATAGGTGCTCAGCAATACTAATGCTTAGGACAACAAGGAAGATTACATCTTTTGTTGTAATTTTTTTAATAAAAAAATTAGTCTTTTCAGAGAAGCAGGCAACAGTTATCAGCAGTGTTGGTGGTAACGCGTTACAAGTAATGTCGTTACCGGTAATGCGTTACTTTTCTCAGTAACTTAGCAATGTACTCATTACAATTTTGCAACTGTAAGGGGTAACATACTTCCTTTAGTATTTTTCGATAACGTGAGGTGCCATGTTACTTGTTACTTTTTCATTCCGAAGGTTCCACATTCCTAGAACTCGCCCCGACGAATTCTTTTGTTGCAGCGTTGGACCGCTGTCGCCTACCAGGCGTTGACAAAGAAAGCGTGGACGGAATTTAGTTTGGGGAATTTGGGTGGAGGGGGGTATCTAAAGCAGGCACCGAGTACCTGCGCGGACATAAGATGGTATAGTGCACTGTGGCTCGTCTTGGAAAGGTTGGCTATCCTGAGACATTGCTGGTTGCTGTGGCCGAAAGCATCTACAGAGCTCAGGGGCACGTACGACGTGCTGCAGATAATGGCGTACAGGAAAGCATGAGCAGATGCGAAAAAGTCGTGGTCATTTCTTAGAAACATCAGCCTTCTCCTCATGGGTTGAAAAAGATAGGCCGGCACGTTGGTGTCCATGGGGTTTTTTTTCTGCCCTACACAAGTTAGACTCGCTCTCACAGAGGAGAGGTCCGGTCACGAGACGCAAAATTGGATGCCAAGTAAGGCACCTTAATCGGTTCCTGGAATGTGTGCGATGGGTGGGGGTGGGGGTAGTCTACAGGGTCCATTTGTCGTGTATGTGGAGCCTGCCACATTGGCCAGGCAAGCAGATGTCTCAATGACAATCTCCAAGAGCACAACAATAATGTTTGGAATAAGAACGACGGTCTTATGGCTATTCACTGTGATTGCTGCGGCTGCCGCTCTGTGCTCGACAGCACCACAATTCTGTACCAGCACAGAGACGACATGCAGCTTTTGTACCTCCTGCCCAACAGTCCAGAAAGGAAGTGATTTTTCTCTTCTCTTCATGAAAAAGGTTTTATAGACCTTTATAGACCTTTTTTTGCTGCAGAGTAGTAGAAAGCTGATGAAGCGCTTTTACGCCCCAATCTGTTTTGTACCACGAAAGTTGCCGATGGAATGCCCAACCTTTTTGTCGACTGCATGATGAGGATGTAATTTGTTGGCATGCTGAACAGGGCCCGTATAGCAATGGCATACTGTGTTCTCGTTAACGTTTCTAATTATAAACACTTCCAATTTTTGCGTTAAGTAAACTGACTAAAATGAACAAGAAATGTTTACGCACAAATATATTCCCAGGCGACTAGGCCATTAGAACAATTGTTTACTACTACAAATTTTCCGTGTTGATCTTGCCATAAGAAGCACGCTGAAAGAATTGCCGTAAATTTGTTGAGAGTCCAGTGACGAGTCTTTAGCGGAGAGCGTTTATCCTTACGAGAACAGATAACTGGGCTCGTTTCTGGGAATTCATGTTAAGGCATTGATGATTGACTTTCGTATTGTGCATGATGTGACTTTGAGAGAAATGGCTTCACCATGTGCTAGAGTCTGAAGCCATCGCATGCAACTATAGAGGCAACTAACTATAAGCTCTACGACATTGCTAAAGTTCAGTGCATTTGTACAAACAATTTAGTTGAATCAGCATTTTGGTTATAATTGTCGTTTGGCTTAGAAGTTTTTTGTGAAAAATAAGTGTGAGCCTCAAAATATTCTTACTGACGGTTCCTGCAGCAAAAACGAAATGATTGATATTTATTATTGATGAGTAACGTCTGTTACTTTTTTTGGTAACTGTAACGGTAACGCGTTACATTTTTCTGTTGGTAACGTAGGGCGGTAACGCGTTCCTTTTTTGTTAGTGTAACACAAAACGTATTTAGTTACTTTTTTTGGTAATGGATACAATAGTTATTAATTACATACAGCCATCCAAATTTTTAACTAGCACACCTACACTTCTGTGAGCGCAGTACGACTCATTCAAATTGCAAATGGGTTGGGGGTAAGCACATGTGTATGAAGTGGCGTGCTCACCTGGGCCCAATGTCTGCTAAGCTGTTCCTTTACGAGAATGTCACCCCATATTAGTGAGCTTCAGGTCAGCGGGAAATGTAAGTGGGCGAGCAGTTTTGCTCTGATTTTATGTTCCATAGATGGACGTTGCAGCAAGCAGTCGAGGAAATAAAGTTTAAAGATATTTCACTCGCCCCCACATGAGACAAGCCAGAAAACATTTGTCTGAGGGCCACTGTTTTTCTTCATTTTTCTTTTCAGTGCCCCTATAAGTGTTTTATAATGTTAAGGACACTACACCTTGCTGTACTGAAGTAGTGCAGCTCCTCCTTACAAATGCTTCTGGTTCCATGTACAGTATGTGAAATGTATATGTAAATACACTCAAACCTCGATGTAACAAACCCAGATATAACAAAGTATCGGCTAAGTAAATCAAGAAAGGTCTTCAATAGAAATAGTGTGGAAAAAAATAACCATTTTTTGAATATGACAAGCTTGTTTTCGTGTTAGATGCAACCTTGTTATTATGAGGTTTGAGTTTCGGATAGGCCAGTGACAATACGCCTCCTGTCAACAGGTGACGGCGAAGCTGAAGCGAGGGCCCTAGACATGTTGGAGAACGATGATCCCCTACTCATGGAAGACTACATCTTGTCATGATGCTGGATGCTGCAGAGGGGGTGGCTGCGTGCCGAGGCAGACGTGGAAGACGCTCAGAGTCTCAGCTCTCCAGATGTGTCACGCTCTCACTTTTCTCGTACCACTTCGCTGTCTTCTTCTCCCACATCACCCACCTAAAGTAGAAAACATTGCGTGCCTCACCCTTCCCCCCATCTCCGCAGCCTTTTCATCATATAAGATGGCCTGACTGCAGTGTACATAGCTTGGAAAATGGCGCCTTTTCGCGCGTCGTCACGTTTTCCCGGGCACGTAATGCTTGCTGATTCTGTTTTTTTTTTAGTCGTTCAAGTTGGAAGCAACCCGCTTTTCCCCCTCCCCTCCTCGATTGTTTGCCAGCAAGAGAAGTTTGTGATATAGGTTTAGGCTTTCGAATAGGCATAGTCTTGTTGTGGAACTTTTGCTGGCTTTTTGAGTGACGAACGATGTTCGATGAAGTCTGAAGACTTGGAACTTGTAGTTGCATTGTTCTTTTGTTTTTGTGTACAAGTGTGCTGAGCAGCTGCCGTGTGTTATGTTATGAAAACAAGAAGGCTTCCTGTTGCCTCATGCATTTTTTTGAAGCAAATTATGTAGCGCTAAAGTTTGTGTATGTAGGGTAATGCTAGGGCAGCTGTGTTCTTGACCTGTGTGGGAGGGACGCTTAAAAGAAAGGCATTCGGAATTGTGCGTTTTTGCCTTTTAGCCCCGTGTTCAACAAAGACACAAATTTCCGCTGCGGTTGAGCGATTGATCACAGTTTTCGTATTTTTGCTGTTATGTGTCTGCTTCAGAATGTTATTGCACATGGTTAATAATCTGTGTTGTTTTCTAGCCAGCAGTGCAGGGGGCAGCATTAGGGATCTTATGTAGTCAAACTTTCAGTGGCACATGTGTCTGTATTATTATGACATTTTATTTCCTAAGTATTGATGTAAGTTAGGTAGTTAATTTGTTACTTACTGGATTGTTTTTTATATCATCAGCTTCAACATTAGCGAGCCAAAAAAGAAAATGCTCACAGTTTTCTGATGCAATCTCTCCCACAGCAAAACACAACCATTTTGTGTTACTCTTACTACTTGCAATATGCATAGATGTATATGTGCACACAAAGACCTGTGGTGCTTGCTTGGGTTGTTGTATGTAAGTCACTGTTTTAGTTTGATTTCTGTTTCAATGGCCAGTTATCAAAATGCTCTATTCTAAAGTAGCACCTGATATATATTGTCACATATTTTCTGGAAAAGCACTGGCTACAAAGGTGTGTAGTTATACCTTGTCGTCAAATAGCGTTACTGACATTGAAAAGGTCGAATATGATGCAAACTATCATACCCAAATTTACGAAGTTGCGTATATATATATATAGGTATATGGGAAGTGTCGGGTGCATATGCTGGTATAATTTAGAAACGATGGGTGCAAGGATAACTGTGAGCATATCACAAATTAAAGTTCAGCTTTAGATTATAAAGCTTTTTAAGGTGATAATATGAAGAGCCAAAATACAATTTTATTTTAATACTGTGAAAATGACTGCTTCATGCATACGACAATTACATGGTTGTGATGTCCTCTCTAAATATAGCTTCTGGTACGTTACGTGTGTAGGGAATACCAGGGACACAGTGTTCTAGAGCAATCTATACAGTTGCACTGATGACTAAGCTGTAAAAAGAGCGTCCGGTAGCTGAAATTAGAGCGTCCGGTAGCTGAAACCACAATTCACCGATTTTCTCATGCAGAACATCAAATAACGTTTTGTTCACTCTCTTCAACGCAAGGCTATCGTCTTTCGATGGCATTTGCAGTGAAACATGCAGATACGTGGTCATTTCTTTTTACCTATCCTCATGACATGAAAAGATGTTACAAGGCATGAAACATGCAGACGAGAGTCCCAAAGTTCAAGACAGCCGTGAGACCCTCGGTGATGATTACAAATAAATAAAACAAGGATTAGGTGCTGTTTGAACCATAGTCGTTGAGTCAGGTTAATCGGTAGATCAACATCTTTTTTGTAAATGGAGTAGTGTGCACATCGTATGCTTACTAGGCACGTAATGTCGGCATATGCGTCTGAGCACAGACATCTGTTTTATTCAAACAAAGCGCACGCTATGGTGTGAATCACATTTCGCGTGTGTTGCCGTGAATATCACATCTAGCATTCGTTATGTGTAGCTCTGGGGTTGAGGAGCACTAGAATATAGCTTGCCAAGTTGTAGGAGTACAAATGTAAAGTTTATTTGATTGTCATAAAAGCGGAGCCAACACTAGAACCAAACTTGACATTAAGCTGATAAAACATATCTGTTCTATAGGAGTACATAAGGAATGTTTATTACCATGTGATAAAATTAGACAGCCAGCACGGTAACCACAATTTACGTTGCAACGACATAATTCTTGCACGTTGGTCTTTTTCCAAAGCTGTTTTAAGACCTTGCATGACTCTGTGGTAGAATACTTGACTCTCATGTATAATATAAGGATTTAATTTCTGCCGGGATCTTTATTTTTGTTTGCCTTTGTTAAGTCAATGTGGCTGATGCCACGTTTTTTCGACCCTCCCCCACTTAGATTACGAATGTCTATTCTCGCCTTTCTTGGGTATAAACTGTGAATCACCAGTGGTGCGTACCCACATACCACAGTCCGTGTTATGCGGGTATGTACCACATGTCACTGGAGGAAAGCGTTTCGTGACGTACGAGCCAGGATTTTTCGCAGCCTAGATTTTCGCAGTAGTTGCCGCGTGACTGGACAGTCATGTCCGTCTGACCTTCATAGCTTCGTATGCCAATTTCGGTCAGTACAAAGTTGAAGAGGCGACCACAAGGGCGCTCAAATGCAGGCGGCTAGATATAAGCATACAGATATACAAATGTATTAGTGGATAAAAATGCTCAACGATCTTTCGATTGCTAAGAAATGCTTCCCATTTAAAAGGCTTCGATTTTTGCGGTTGGTGCACATACGTAAGATATTACGTTGCCCGCATGGGTTTGCGCATTTGAAGGGGTCGTGAAGCGCTCGCTTTAAAGCGACAATGCGAAGCCACCGGCATTCACACGCAATAACTAGGTGACGTCATCATAAGTAATTCTTCGCCTATCGAGGAACGCGGAACTTTTGACACTTGCGTGCGTGCATCTGGGACACTCGTCAGCGTCTTTGTCATACACAATCAGCGCTAACTTGAACTCTGACGTCATATTAAGCAGCGTCGTTGTGGGACGCGAATCGCGCATGGCAGACGCCGCTGAGCGCCTCTTGCGCGTGCCCAATATGCCATAGATTTCCATGTTCCTCGATAGGCAACTGAGCGTCTATGCAGGTCCACTCGGGCTCATGATACAGTTAGTGCATGTGGCTGCCGATGGTGCCGCATTGTCGTTGTAAAGCGACAGTTTCACGACCCCTTTAATAGAAGTGAATCGTATCCGTCATGCATGATATTCTTGAGCATGCGTTCGTCTAAACTTCTGTAAACTACGAAGTTTGTAAACAGTAATCAAGTTTGCATTTGTATGTTACCGTAAAATAATTTATGAGGCGATAAAAAATATTAGATTGTATTTATAAAAGAAATCGAAGTTTATCTCTGAGACGAGAGTCGGGTGTGGCTGCCTGGGCGATCTTGCGCAGTCCGATGATGAGTACGCCCAAGAGTACGAAGGCACCGCCGAACATGCTAAACAAGTCTGGGTACACGCTCAGGAACACGGCCTGCATGAAATAGTTGTGCCCAACATCGCATGCTCATCGTGCAGAGCAGAATTGCACGTTCCAATTATCAATTAGAAGGAATAAGAATTTTATATGCCTTTAGCTCATATTCTGTAATGCTTCAGCGTATAGCCGGTGCAAGTCCCGAATTGCTAAAAGTATATACGTATATATCCTCATAGGTAGGGTTCGTAAAGGATGGTGAAGGCAAGTCGAGGTCGAGCGAAATCAAGAGTTGGAATGGATGAATATATAATAATGAAATGGTGGGATACATCTCACAACCAACTGCGTGCCTTTGGGCAGCGGCCTTCCGGGAATGAAGGTGGGTCGAAGTGAACCGTTTTTAGAATGCTTATGTAGGTCGTCCTCGGCCTACATTAGCGTCAAAAACTTGCACATGAGCCGTCGCCATAGACGTGAAAGATCTGATTCTGTAGACATAGAGCAGATCTCCCGTCTCCTCCTCCCCCCTCTTGTATGAATAGGGACGGCTGCCTATTGCACATCTCGCCTGTAATTAGGGCGTCTTGTTTTAACATTCACCGCGCTTGTTAAATGACTCCTGACGTAGAATGTTTTCTATAATAAAAAACAACAAACCTGATGGCGACTTTTTAACATAAATTGTAGCTCTGTGTAATTGCGATATTGAATCGCAAATGCTCTAACGCGTCTTATAGTAACGTCAAATGCTATTGTCGTCAGCTGAAAATATTGCGTCAATTCCTCGAATGTGCCTGCCCCGTATGAAACCCTCATAAAAAATCGGACATCAGCGCACTAGAATCCGTTCAGAAGAAAGCCATCCGTTTCATTTTCCGCCGTCACGACTGGAATTTCTCACCCTCCTCTCAACTTGCTACGCTAGGTCTGCAAACCCTGTCCAAGCGACGCGAGCTTGAATGCCTAAAGTTGCTCCATATTCTTGTTAATACCCCACGCTACGCATTAACTAACGAATATCTGTCTCCTGATAAACTGAAACCCACAAGGAATAGCCACCAACTCAACCTGACACCATTCCATCCACGTACTAACCTATTTAAATTCAGCTTTTTTCTGCACACTATAGAAAAATGGAATGTATTGCCATGGTCAACTAGGTCATTGCCTTTAAAAGATTTCTTGCATGAATGTATTGATTTGCGATTTGTTTATTAAGAGTTGTAATTTCTTGCATGAATGTATTGATTCGGAATTTGTTTATTAACAGTTCTATTCCTGTTTGTTAAGAGTTGTATTCTTGTGTGTGCTGATGTATAGCAAACTCACTTGTGCGATAGCCCAATTGGGCTTTATTATGTAAAAATAAATTAATAAATAAATAAATTAGAAACGCCAGCCTAAATACCGCAAGAAAATATAGCGCCTCAAAGCGGGAGAGCTCTCAAGAAAGCTCAAGTTTCGGTGACACCGAACGCGGCATTTTCAAATAATTATAACGGGGCTTTATGTCCCAAAACCGCGATATGGTTATGAGAGGCGCCTTAGTGGAGGGTCATTAAATTTTGACCAGCTTGGGTTTTTTAACGTGGACCAAAATCAAAGTACACAGGCATCTAGAATTTTCGCCTGCATCAAAAATACGGTGACGCCGCTGCCCGTATTCGATCCCACGACCACTAGACCACCGTGGCGGGTGCCGTTTTCATGTCAGAGGACCAGTGCTTGGTGAAGAATAAAACAATGTGGTGCTTCGAGCCTGTCTCC